GATTGATGTCTTTATATACTTTTGATTACTATGACAATAACAGCTAATTATTTCTTGGCAATGTCTACAATAATTAAAAGGTACAAATACATTGTTCTGACTATAGAGACTTTCATATATTTACTTGTCTAGTGTTTATTAGGTGCTTGCCGTGTCCCAAGTACACTGCCAGGTGCTGAGGATAAAGATAAAAGTAAAATGTAGCATTGACCAATAAGAAATTTACAGTAGAGTGAGATAATTTATTTCTGGGTATTTGAAAACTTATAGATGAATAATATAATTTTTAACATTTATGATCTAGATGTTAGACAAATATGACTATATGATATTTATCCATTTTAACACTAGCCATGGCCTTAATAAATCTATGTGGATAATTCATCTGAGGTACCTTCTTCCCTCTTTTTTTATCTGTGCTAGAATCAGAGCTATTTCACAAGTAGTGTTTCTCATTTTAAATTCTGTAGGTCATCTTGAAGCAGAGGATTAGTTGATTTTTTTCCCCATAAGCTGTTTATGGGGAAACAGTTTATGGCAGGCACTTCAATTGTCCACCCAATATCCATGGTAAATGAACTGTGAGGAGCAGCCCAGTCTGAGTATGAGGTTAAATATTCAGTGTTTTTTGCACTAGGGGTGTCCAAGTAATGCATTTCTGGCCAAAGAGACATATATTGAGGTGTGTTGAGCCTCTAGGAAGACGTTTTATTTTCCTAATAAAAGGACAGACACGGCTATTGCAGGTCTTCCCCACCCGAAATCTTTCTGCCTTGACTGTGGACATGTTGTCTGGAGTGTCAGCGGTCCTCTTCTGACCAGCTGATGAGAAAAATTTATGACTCTCGGACTGAAGAATGGAAAGATAATAAAGTTTCTGGTTTCTTAATGGAATAGTTGAGGACTTAAACAAATGTCAACAGTTGACTACCTTCAGACTTCTTATTATGGGAGAAAATTAAGCCCCCACACATTTAGTCCTCTGATCATTAAGCTTTTTGCCATTTCTAGCTGAATTTATCCGGACTCCATTGCTTTTTGGCAGTAGAGGCCTCTCACATTTGTTTTGAATCAATATAACAATAAGCTGGGCTATTTGTGAATGTTTTGTCATTATTCTTCCTGTGCTGTTTCTATTATTTTTTTCCCATAAGGTCATTTTTCTACATTGTAATTTAGAAATTTGGTTTTAAATATTTTTTGCTTAAATTGACACTTTGGGATACTAATTAGGATTTTAATAATTAAACATTTTTATTTTATGTTAAGGGAGAAACTTCTTTTTAATGTTCTCCATTGAATAACACAGGACTTGTCTGAAGAATGGTGCCAAAACTCAACAGAGCTCATTTGTTTCTTGTTTTGCAGTATCAGAATTAACATGTATTTCTACATGTAATCTTGACACATTCAGCTGCATCGCAAATATAACATAATGTCATACTGAAAAGAATAACTTTTTTAACCTCAGTTCATTCTAACTCAGCAGTTCTACCACTAGATAAGGAACTCACTTCTGTGGTTCCCCTCGGCTTCTACAGACAACTTGTCTACAGAGGATCAGCTATCTCAAACTCTGCTTTGTTGGTACGGGTCCCAGGAACTCCAAATTCTACCT